TGTGTGTGATTTTTTTAAAATAAATTCATATTTTTATACAGTATAGACACAATAAATTAACGCTGTTCTTTTGAACTTTCTTTTCATCAAAGAATCCTGAAAATTTGTTTCCACAAAAATATGAAGCAGCACAACTGTTTTCAACATTGATAATAATCATAAATGTTTCTTGAGCAGCAAATCAGCATATTATACTGATTTCTGAAGATCATGTGACACTGAAGACTGGAGTAATGATGCTGAAAATTCAGCTTTGATCGCAGGAATAAATTACATTTGATCATATATTCATCTACAAAATAGTTCTTTTAAATGTTAATAATATTTCACAATATTTAGGTAACTTTTTCTTCTTCTCTTGTCCTAACCTGTCAGCCAATTGTAACTGAAAGAAAGAAAATACTGAATTTATTTATACAACCACTGCCTGAGGTAATAATTACCTGTAGTATACTGGAAACAGATTACAGTGTTATCTGGGATCAAAAGAACGACATTAGCTCAGGTCTGAGATCACATTTGAGACCAATCAGCAAATTAGTAAAATCATGTAGCTGACCTGGTTTAAACACTGAACCTTCTTGTCTGCGTGTGAGAGAGTGCAGTTCATTTGCCGTTTCTTGCCTGTTGGTCATGCTCTGGTTTGCATATCAGATGAATCATCTTTCCGAGGTGTTGGGTCACAGTTAAATTGAACATCTTGGAACCAATTTATTTCATTAGGAGCTCCGAGTCCAGGACCGGAATACTGACAGCCAATTTCAGCTCCTCTAAAGCGTCAAGCACGAAGGCTGCGACAAAAGATGATAGATTTAGCCAGACAATACATTGGTATGAGGTGTGCGTGCGTTTCTATATTTGAGCGGGTTTATGGAGTAAGATCTCTCAATGCTGCCACGACTATGTCTCTCTCGTCCATTGTTCCTCATTCTTTTCATTCATAATTGACTTCGGAGTTTAAAGTACTACTAAAATCCTCTACAACACGGCGTGAGGTCTCATAAAGAGGCCGTAATTGAGGACGAGCTCCGACACGTGTCAGCACATCCATTACTGAGCGCTGAAAGTGCTACACTCGTCTAATCCCTTCTATTCTCCATCACCGGCCTTTGTGTGTCCACTTCATTTTCCTTCGTTTGAACAGAGAACACGGTTAAAAAGACCCCTTGTCTGTACTAAAGAAAGTCAAACGCTGTTCAAACTGCCTTTGCGAGAAAAGGGTTTAAATTATGGAGCACATTTGGAGGACTAAAACCGGTCCAAACGAAGTCAGAACAAAAGGCTGAGGATTTTTAAAAGATATATCCACTTTTTTTGTTTTGCAACGCGGAAGTAAGCTGTTTTATCTGAAGGCGCGAGAATTCCAATTCATTAGCTGCTAGAATACTAGAAGATGTGCAGTGTAAAACTATTTGAGCTACAAACCAGCGTGTTTACAATTATAATAATACATTAAATTAATGTGATAACAAATAACAGTTTGAAATATCAAGCAACATATCGGACTGTTTTTCTACAGGTAAAATAACTGGAAGCTAATGACAAGTCTTGCACAACATCCAAGTTACAAATGGCGGCACCCGCTCTTGAGTTAAAAATATATACTGGACAGTTCTAACTCTACATAACACATGGTTGAACAACTTTACTTTTTTCTTTTTTTTTTGCATGCTTTTATACCTTACAAAGATCTGTTTTACCTGATTGGGCAAATCCATCCTGTTGGAAAAAAAATGGTTTCCACTAAACAAAATACCATTACAAACCATCAACTGTTAGCCATTAAAACCATTACCTAATGGTTTCTAGTAGCAATGATTTCAAGTTTGTGTGGAATTGGCTACTTGTAAACTGTTGCCGTGGGTTGATTTTTTCCCCCTGTGGTTTGTCTCTTTTTTATTTTTTGGATAACTATGAGTTATTTTCAAGTTTAAATGGTGTCTGAAGCATAACAATGACTGTAAAATATGTATTTTAGGTATGGGAGTGGCATATGTTGAGTTCTGATTTTGGATAAGGTCACTGGGCTTGTTTTGGGATATTTTTGATTGGTGTTTAGGCTGGTTTTGCTACAGACCTGGCAGCCCTGTCCAGTAGTGTGTTTTGGGTCAAATTCCATTAGGATTTTTTAACATGGCACCAATTCAGGCAAACAATTTACCAGTTGAGACCCACAGGGACCATTACAGTTTCCATTAAAACCAATACATTTCCAATTATAAACCATTATATATGTGGGTTTTTTCAGCAGGGCAGTGACCAGTTCTTTCTCTAAACTGCAAACTGTTGGGGCCAAGGTCAAGCTGGTTAGTTAGCAGAGCACATAGGAGCAGAAACACAAAAGTTATTGGTTATTACTGATTCTAGAAACCAACCTGACCTGGTTTTACCAACAGGAACGGTGCTGCAAATCACTCTATCACACACTTTATTTAATTTAGTCCTTCAACACGCTTATTATCCTGATCTTATCAGGGAGGCTGAATACGGCTTCAGAAATGAAATCGATTTATGATTTATTAATGTCCAATTTCTCCCCACTGCACACCTACAGGACGAATCTGATAATGTAGGGGTGATAGCGAGACAGAGAGAGATGGATTTTGCAAAATAAAGTAGATGGAAAAGAGAGTATAGATGATTCTTCAGAGCCGTACAAATACAGAGTATTCAACTCTATTCACTACTTTTAATATGAACACATTACAATTAAATTGAACCAAATCTACTGGTTTAGTCTGAGCTTTGAAGCACAAGCCCTTATAGCACTGATATACAAACAAGTAAAGACACAAACCATCTCATGAAGATTCATAATCATGCCTAACAGTGACAGAATATTTGTAAATATTCTCCTGAAACTTTTACCAAGTTACCAAGCACACTTGATATTTTTAAGTGTCTCAAGAACACGCCCACAAAAGGGGAACTGGAAGAGTGTTTTACAGGAACTGAATATTACACAACATCGGAGTTTTGAAACTAAAAAATGGTGGACGCCAGACGGAACCGCAGCAGTTTTAAAACGAAAACGCAGTGGTGTAAACCTATTCTCTGTTGTGGGGCTCAAAGCAACATATCTCCCGCTGCTCATCATCCTCACCAGCCCTGAAGGTCAGAATCATCTACTGAGACCAATAATGCTGCCTAAATCTGACATATTCTTTCATGATGCTCTTCAGGCTAGCAATAATAATAATGATAATGATGATGAGATTAGATTGTGCTGCATTCATTTTTACTCTTTCTGCTCCCTTTATGACTTTATGTTGTTGCAACTTACAAAATGTAATGTTGACTTACATGAAATGTTTAGCTTTGCATGTAATGTACAAAGTTTATACACGTAGGAACACACTGTGAGTCCCTCTGGACAGCAAGTTTTCTTCTAAGAGCATTTAAATAGTGAATCTTGCCTTTGTTCCAGCATTTGCCTTTCCCAGGTGCTGTGTGACTGTTTCAAAGAAAATCCCACGGAGCATTCTGCGATCGGTTTGCAGATATGAGATACAGAGCAAATCTGGTGTCTGCGACTTTGATGCATTGATGTGAGTGTTTAAGATACAGACACACAAATGACATATGAATCATGTGCTCCTGTGTTTGCTGCTCTTCAGATTACATTTCAGAAACAAACTGATCTGCGCTCATCCCAGAGTGTTGAAGAAACTGAAGATTCTCAAACACCAAACTGGCTTAAATGCAAACAGGAAATGAATGAATGTGATCGGGAAATCTGTTTATAATCCAGGTGGCAGTGATATACTTATAGTTTCAATATTTGCTGCATTGGCTGTTTTAAAAGTTATCTTTCAACTGATTGTACCAGACATTATGTAGGTCACTGCAATATACAGTATGTATTCTTTGCTCTGCTTTTTAATGAAATAAATCTCTTCAGCTTTGGCTGTATGTTGGTGATTGTTTGTATAACCTTTTATTTATCTTTTTGTTGTCCATATTCTCTAGTTTGTATAAGTTGTGTTCAGTGGTGTTTTGTAGCAATCTGTGAAATGGGTGACTTGTAATATTTCCAAAAATGGGGGGAGCCCATTTAGAAGCAGTGTCTGTAACCTTTGGAAGACCAAACAAAGTAGTTTCACTTTCACAACGAAATACACGGCAGGCTGAGTGAGCGGCGGCTGGCGGATTCGACGAAGGAGCGTCTGGAGGGCTTGCGGCAACCACATGTGACGACCCCGGGCTGGACTCTGCTTCGTCCACGGTGAAAGCCGATCCGGCGATCCACAGCGTGAAGTTGATGTATTTCCTCAGCGACCAGCACGGATCAGCTCTAGGCATGACGAAGCAGATATCATCCTCTTTTGGAAGACCAAACAAAGCAGTTTCGCTTTCACAACGAAACACAGCGTCTTCACGACATGGCGTCGGCGGCAACAATACTACAGCGAGAATAAAAGTTAAGCCTTCTTTCTTTGCGTGCACATTTGGGCGGCGTTATGCAAATCTTCCCACATCGTGACGTAGACACGTGGGGGTGTGTTAGAACGAGCCGTTTTAGGTAGGCGTGGTTGACTCTTAACTTTTATAAAGAATATCTCTTTGGATTTGAGACTTTAGTCTTTGCAACTTTACAGATCTTCTTTATGCACCAAGAGCTTGTAACACTCCAAAGAGAAAGGAAAACTTGAAATCGCATCATATGACCCCTTTAACAGCCCAGTATTTTGGCGTTTTAAAAACAACCGTTTTTACGATTATGACTGCATACACAAAACATGGCAAGACTTCATCAGCCAATAGGAAAAATTAAAGTGAATGATAGGGACTGTCAAACACTAAGAAGGATTGTGTCCAAACTTGTGTCCACAGAACTACTGACAGCAAACCTCATTATTCACCTCGAAGACCCTGTTTCCACAAAAACCCACCGCAGAGAACTTCACAAAGCCAACATCCATGAAAGAGCTGCAACTGCTTTAATCACAGACACCAGTGCTAAAATGTGAAAAAAATATGGTGTCACGTTCATAAAACTTCAACATCTGCACTTCAACATCTGCCCTGGTCAGACAAATCTAGAATAATCAATCCACTGTGGGCAGTTTGGAGAGAAAAGTGAGAAGCTGATTCCCTTTTTCAACATCTCTGAAACAACTGGCAGATGTTCTGATAAACATCAGCCCACTGTAGACTATTCAAAAGTTGTACAAATCTATTCTAAGAAGGTTGGAAGCTGTATTTAAATCGAAAAACAACATTTTGTCCAACCAATGTTTTTCCAAGCAGTCTCTAAATAAATCAATGGCGATTTATATGCAAACAATTCTTACATTTTTTTTTTAAGCTGTACTGAAACAATGTTTTTGAAGAATGTTCTAGAGTATTAGTCTTTTCTGTTCTTAACACTTTTGAGATACTATATTAAAGACGGATTGTTACATGCCAGTCTGTTTTAGCCAGAGATAGAGGAAATGCATTGACGTAACTTTCGCGCCCTTAGTTGTACTTTGACATAAAACCAATATCTTGCTTACTTGCTACCAAGTGTCTCAAGCAAAGCCACCTTCAAAATTGTATCATGCATGAAGCAAACTGACAGTCAAAAGTCAAAGACAGTCAGTCACACAATGCAGAATCACTCAGATCTGGACTAGAGTTGCACTGCCACCTAGGGGGTGTTCTTTAGTGCTGCTGCTTTTGCTTCAGTAAGATCAGGAGAAACGCATTCAGTCAAGTGTGTTATTTATATTAACTGGTTGTATTTATGTAGTGTACAATACAAAACTAAACATATGCACAGACATACTTATATAAAATGAGTTGAACAAACACACTGGAGTAAATGGAGTGTAATCTGTCACAGCAGTATAATAAACCTTCTTTACACCATTCAAGGATGTTTGGACCACATTATTATGATTCTTCCATTCGTACTCACTCATAATCGAGGACTTATTGTTGATTTGAGGACCATCTTTAAGGACCGTCAGGCCTGAAGTAACACAAAACCCAAGACAAACACCTTAATTTTGCTTTTATAAAAAACTATGGTACTTTGACATATATTTTATATATGTGACATATATCTATATCTATATATATATATATATATACAGGTTCAAAAATCTGAGACCACCAATGGAAATGCTTCTATTTTACATATTTTTTTCTAATTTAACTCAACATTATATTCTCAGCATTGCAAATTAAAAACATGTAGATGAATTTCAGAATTTCTTAGTATTTTTTAGTATTTCTCAGTATTCTTAGTCTATGATGTTGAAGTACTATGGTACTGTACTGTCCAAACTCACTCTCTCAGCCACTCAAATACAGTCACACACCAGCGGTCAGAAAGGCTTAACCGTGGTTATTTTTACAGAACCAATAACAAGTCCTTTATTTGAAAGGCAAAGTGTTTGGACTTGCATAAGTGAAAAGGTCAGAGTGCCGGCGAGAGCTGAAGCAGATTCAAAAACCCAGAGTGAAGTGATTGAACGCTGCAGTCTGAGACTCAAAAGAGCTGTGGAGAGATGAAGGTCAAACTGAAGTCTGAAATGATTTCCAAAGATACTTCATCCTGCACAATATTTATGGAGTCCGGCCTTAAATGCCAAGACAGGAAGCGAGTTCTTGAGCGCTTAGGCGGCGGTCTACGTTCCGGTCGCAGAACTGCATGAGCTTCTTGGCACAGCGGCGAGGACGCAGGAGACGCAACGGACGCATTTCCCGCTCGCTCAGAAGCCCATCGGTGTCTGCGTCCAGCCACACAAAGTACCGATGGAGAGTCTGAACAGACGAGAAAGAGGCTGGAGAGGTGAGGACATGAGGACGAGCCTCAGGGGTCCTGAGAGACAAGAACAACATCATAAACTACACAAAACTCAATTCATGATGGACGTTCTAGATCAACACACTTTCCAGATCTGCCACTGAAATGAGAATGTAGAAATGCATTTAAAATAATTTGTAAGATTACACATGAATGCATGCATAATGAATGAATCAACTTTTTGTGACTTCTCTGTGCACTTTTAAAGCACTGTTATTTTTTATTTATTATATACTGTTATAGTATTTATTAACATTTTGAATTAGCATTTATTTTTATATTGTCAGTTTTCATTTTAAATTTAACTGAGTAATTTTTGTTCATCTCTTTTTGTGATTTTTATTAGTTTATTTTTTTAATATTTCTATGCTGCTTTGTATATTTATTTCAGTTTTAGTCACTTAAACTTGTTTTATTCCATGTAGTTGCCAAGGCAAGTTTTCCCATTTTAATTTTTTAGTTTTTCATCAAATATTTGTATTACTATTTTTTTTTTTTTCATATTTATTCATATATTTATTTCAGTTTTTTTTTAGTAATTATAGTACTACAATTTAAACTTGTTTTACTTCAATTAGCTGCCAAAGAAACATTTTGTTTTTTAAGTTGTAGTTTTTCATGTAATATTTGTATTTTATTTCATTTCAGCTTTATTTTAATTAACAAAAATGTTTTTAATTGTTTCAGTTAACAACAACAACACTGTTTTAAATGTGAAGTGTGTCATTTCAGCAGCTAAACTGAATTGCAAAAATGATGTTTTCATACATATAATGCTTTAATTCATTAGTTGAGTCAGAAACTGACATGTCAGAATGCGAATGACCTTCAATGTTGAAATGTGGTTGAAATAACATCACTTGTTGATTCAACCTTGAAAAAATTAAAAAAAAAATGTTTAATGCTAAATGGTTATAAGGTTAACAAATTGCATCTAAATCAACATTGAAATTGAATTCATCCACGTTGAAAAGACATTGAAACAGTCACAATATCAGTGTTGATTGAAAATGCAAAATCGAAACAAAATTCAAGTGATTCAGCTTTGATCCATGCTGTTGATTCACTCATGAATAAATGTTGAAATGTCATCTGGGAACAGATCGATGTTATGAAAGAGTGAGCGTTTACTCTGATGACTCAATATCTGCTAGTCATGATGTCTAATGACTGTAATCGATGTGTGTGTGTCTCTAACCTGTAAGCAGAAGATGGAGCCTCGTTTTCAACTTCCTGCTGAAATCCTTGCATTAAACTTTTCAGAAAGCCTGCCTTTCGTACACTGGGACAACCTACACAAACACAGACAGATATTTCGCAAATGAAATCTGCGATATATATTTGAGTGAATCAAAGAGGCTAAGATCAGACCTGTTGGTTGTATTTACATTCATTGTCATAACATATTCACATGACATACAGATTCAACAATACAACTAATACAAACATTGTATAAAATTCAAATTAGAACTTGTATATACAACTCTATAAAAGATCCTTTAGATGTACTTGTGATAAAAATACATATGTTTTACAGACAAGTTAGTGCTGCAATATTGACATTTTGGTGGTTCTTCACCATTACAGAAATGCCCACGAGTCTAGTATGTATGGAAGCTTATTTTCTCCATGGAATAAAAAAGGTGACTTTCTCAGAATTGTGAGATATATACTCAGAATTGAGTTATAAACTCAGAATTCTGAGAAAAAAGGTCAATAAATGCAAGATGTTAACTCCCATTTCTGAGTTTATGTCTTAAAATTTAGACTTTTTTTCTCTCAGTTCTGAGTTTATCTCAATTCAACCTTTTTTTTTCTCACAATTCTGGGTTAGTATCTCAAAATTCACACTTTTTTCCCATGCAATTCTGAGTTTAAGATATTACCTTCAAATCACCTTTTTATTTTTTTATTCCAAGTA